GAATTCGTTCCCTTCCTTTCATTATATCCTGTTTTTTTTTTTCAGGCACTGGGATTAAGTAGCGGGAATTCACGCAACACATTCTTTCTCTATTTTTAATCTGCAATCCTTCCCAAATTATTACATCAGACACGCCTTAATACGTGTACGAGTAATCTTATTACCGACAAAATCATGTAGTTAAATTCTTCAATCACAAACCCCTCAGTCATAGCGTTGGATCCTGGTGTATTTTGCACTTAAAATTAACTATCAATTGCTTGTAGTCTTTCAGTCGCAGTAGAAACTACTAAAAATAGTAACTCTTCCTTATGACGACAGTCATGCAGTCAAGGTTTCATTCACTCTTTCTTGCTGGAAATAATGAGTAAACCGCTGACAAACTTCTCGGTCATTAATAATAACTGAAGGAAGTTACTGCAAGTTACAAGACAATTTGTATTTACAGGATTAGTAATAAATGAAACAAATAAATGTTGATAACAGTTGAGGTGAACGCTGTAAGAGAAAACCCATCAAATTACCATGTATTACATTCAAGTTGCCCTCACACATATATAGGAAAGATTCTTATATTCTTTTGCCCAAAGCCTAGCGAGAACTTCCTTGACGACGCCTAGCTTACAAAATAATCTGATAATATAGTCTGGAACTGGGGTCTGGTTTTTGGGTTCACCAGTAACTTCAGACAAATTTCCTATGGAGGATAGCTTCTTTCTTACCTTAAAAATTTCCAGAAACTTGATGGAGGATTGCATTTTTTTTTCCAAAGCTCTTGTTATAAATCAATCCCCCCGACAAAGGGATGTGGCACTTCCTAATTTGACAAATGCTTCCCACCGACCGACCAAACTCAAAGCGATCGAACTCTTTCCATATCTTGCCAAACCAAACCTACATAACATAACATAACCTAAAAATTATGTCTATGATATACTATGTGTAAAATTGCAGGATCTTGACATTGGGTCTGCTGACTGGTTAAAATGATATCAGATCAATAAAAAACAAATTTGTTGTTACAAATAACACTGAGTCAACATCCATGCCAATAACCTGTGCAGTCCTATTCCTGGGACCTTAGCTCTTCCTGTGTTATGTAAACATGTTCATTAGTGTTAATCTTCACGGTGTATTTTGCTTTCTTTAAATATTCATAATATTGTTCTAAGACTTCTTCCTCACTCTCATTTGTTGGTGCATAAACCTGTATTATTACCATGTCCATATTTTTAGCATTAAACTCTATCTGACACTGTTCAATATCCCTTTACACTACTACTCAACTTCCGGTTTACAACAATACCAACACCTCTCTCATGTTTTTCACCGCCTCAATATATGAAGAAGATTCTTCGTCACTAATGCTATTTGAACCTGTCCATCTTACTTCACTTAATTACAGTGTCCCACTGCAATCTTTTCATTTCACTACAAACATTTGCATACAGTATTTACCAGCCTCATATGATGTCCTCACATTACATGTTCCAATCTTGATTTTGTGTTTGTTCTTTTTTAAATTTTCCTTCGTGTTTAATGTTCAAGGCTTTGTTGTGCTCGGGCAGTACTTGCTAGCTTTCCGTGGCACACTGGCCGCAAGCTCGGGAGACAATGCTGTTGGGACCTTTTGGTGACGATGATCCAACAGGAACGCCCGAGAATTGTTTATTGTGTCTGTCCATGGTTGATCAAGGGTAAGAGATGAAGTTAATGAGAATGGTTTACCCAAACCTTTCCTCATCAGAAGACAAATTAAAGGGAGTAGAACAAGTTGTGAATGAATTGCAGGGTGTAGAGGCCGCTCACACTTCACTCGGTGGAGAATTTGCGTGTTTAACGACGACACACTTTCAACATCCTCATTTAAGGTAACAAGATGGGATCTTGATACCCATCTAATACTTAGACATAACTATCTCTGTACTGCGGCCGATGATGTGCAACGATTTATGTATTTTTCTGCCTTTTCAAGCTGTCTTTTTTCATCAGGATGCGAACCTTTTAGTATGTTTGCGTATATGTTTACCCGTTTCTTTGTATAAGACTTCAGCCGCATGATCTTATTATTACATGTTATGTCTTGCAGAAGTTTTCTCTTTTAATTTTTATGTATTGAGTTGTAATCAGCTATTTAATTTGATTTTTCCAACTGTCATTTATTTAATTTTCGCATTTTATAAATTTCTATTATCCAAAATAGTAGATGAAATAAACCATTTCGGTTTATTTACTTACCATAATACCCAATACAACCTTCTCCACCCCCTGAGTGAGGTGAACAGACGTTCCTTTTCGTTCTTTCCTTCTCTGTATGTATTTTCTTACTATACTTGTCATTATCCTTCTCAACTATTTCTAGTCCGCTCTAGACCTTCAACACTGTTTGATTTCCCACTAAAACCTTTAACACCAACCCAGGGAGAGTACACCCTGCCCTTGATTTCCACAAAACCAACGCAAAAATAATTCCCGTGCACATTGTTGAGCTGCTGCTCCTCTCTTATTACCAACGTAAGCCCGTGAATATATGTACAGTATACATAATTTTCTGCTTGGCATTAGTGTTATAAATATATTCGTGGGTTTAAAATATTTTTGAAGTGTTTATAAGTTTTATAATGGGCTAATCGTTAGCATGTTTTTTTTCAAATTACTGATTTATTTACCATATTCATTTACTCGAATTAATTATTTATCATCAATATAAGATGAAAAACGGAATGGTATCGCATTCAACCCCTAAAATTATCGTGTTGTAATCTGTTATTTGTATATTGAGTCACCTTCGTCCTCTGACAGGTTGGCAAAAATTATGATTTGTAAGATTAAACGACCTTAGTAGGGTAAGATTCAGGAGGGTGGTACACGTGTTCTTCAGCTTGCTATTAGTGATCGGACAAATGCTGTTTAATTAGCTTAGATAGGTAGAATTCAGGTGTTGAGACGAATTCGGGGATTCAGAAATTAATTAAATCTTCCCCGTGTAGGTCCCGTTAAATAAATAATTTCTGCTAGATAGAGTTCACATTTTAATGTACTGATTATGGTGAAGTAGGGGGATGCAGGTGTTAATAACAAGCTTGTGCTGGATTTAATTCAGCTGTCAGTCTACGTTAGTTGGGAGTCGTGTTACCTTATTAAGCCTCTACTAAAAGCTTCTCATGTGTTAGAATTATTCATTAACCGTTACCAGGCAAGGTTCAGTAATAAATATCATTCATTAACGTCTGCTTGGGCTCAGTAGTCTCAGGCAAAATTGGTGTAAACAACACCCAGTAGTCTCAGGTAGGATTGGTGTAAACCACACCCAGTAGTCTCAGGTAGGATTGGTGTAAACAACACCCAGTAGTCTCAGGTAGGATTGGTGTAAACCACACCCAGTAGTCTCAGGTAGGATTGGTGTAAACAACACCCAGTAGTCTCAGGTAGGATTGGTGTAAACCACACCCAGTAGTCTCAGGTAGGATTGGTGTAAACAACACCCAGTAGTCTCAGGTAGGATTGGTGTAAACCACACCCAGTAGTCTCAGGTAGGATTGGTGTAAACCACACCCAGTAGTCTCAGGTAGGATTGGTGTAAACAACACCCAGTAGTCTCAAGATTGGTGTAAATAACACTCAGTAGTCTCAGGTAAGACTCAGATGTAAACATCACTCGATAATCTCAGGTAAGACTCAGATGTAAACATCACTCAGTAGTCTCAGGTAGGATTGGTGTAAACATTAATCAGTAGTCACAGGTTAGACTCAGGTGTAAACATTATCAGTCAGTGGTCTCAGTTATGTAACTCGGTGTAAACATCATCAGTCAGTAGTCTCAGGTGTAAACATCATCAGTCAGTAGTCTCAGGTGTAAACATCATCAGTCAGTAGTCTCAGGTGTAAACATCATCAGTCAGTAGTTTCAGGTGTAAACATCATCAGTCAGTAGTCTCAGGTGTAAACATCATCAGTCAGTAGTCTCAGGTGTAAACATCATCAGTCAGTAGTCTCAGGTGTAAACATCATCAGTCAGTAGTCTCGAAGTGTAAACATCATCAGTCAGTAGTCTCAGGTGTAAACATCATCAGTCAGTAGTCTCAGGTGTAAAACATCATCAGTCAGTAGTCTCAGGTGTAAACATCATCAGTCAGTAGTCTCGAAGTGTAAACATCATCAGTCAGTAGTCTCAGGTGTAAACATCATCAGTCAGTAGTCTCAGGTGTAAACATCATCAGTCAGTAGTCTCAGGTGTCAGTAGTCTCAGGTGTAAACATCATCAGTCAGTAGTCTCAGGTGAAACATCAGTCAGTAGTCTCAGGTGTAAAAATGTCAGTAGTCTCAGGTGTAAACATCAGTCAGTAGTCTCAGGTGAAAACATCAGTCAGTAGTCTTAGGTAAGACTCGGGTGTACACATCAATCAGTAGTCTCAAGTGTAAACATCATCAGTCAGTAGTCTCAGGTGTAAACATCATCAGTCAGTAGTCTCAGGTGTAAACATCAGTCAGTAGTCTCAGGTGTAAACATCAGTCAGTAGTCTCAGGTGTAAACATGTCAGTAGTCTCAGGTGTAAACATCAGTCAGTAGTCTCAGGTAAGACTCGGGTGTACACATCAGTCAGTAGTCTCAGGTAAGTGACTCAGTGTAAACATCATCAGTCAGTAGTCTCAGTGTACACATCAGTCAGTAGTCTCAGGTAAAATTAAGGTGTAAACATCGTCAGTCAGTAGTCTTAGGTAAGACTCGGGTGTAAACATCATCAGTCAGTAGTCTCAGTGTAAACATCATTCAGTAGTCTCAGGTGTACACATTATCAGTCAATCTTAGGTAAGACTCAGGTGTAAATATCATCAGTCAGTAGTCTTAGGTGTAAACATTATCAGTCAGTCGTCTGTTATGTAACTCAGTGTAAACATCAGTCAGTAGTCTCAGGTGTAAAAAATGTCAGTGGTCTTAGGTTTAAACATCACTCTTCAACATGTAGGTAAAATAAGGTTCAGGTGTTAAGACAAAATCATCAATTTGGGTGGAATTTATTTTGGACAAGAAAACAATACATATGACTTATGTATCTTCTTCATTTATGACGTGGTGGGGGATTTTTTTTTTTAATTTATTATAATTTTTTTTTTTGGCATTTGCATATATGTGCTTGATAGCATAAATAAATAATCAATACAGTATATATTTTAACAAAATATATTTGTTACATTTAAAAATATAGGTGGGGGTGTTGACCTAGGTGATAAGTGGTCGTGGTTAAGGCGTAGACTAACACACATCTCAACCACGTCCACGAGCCTATACACACACGCACATGAGGCGCGCCAGCATGTACTCACACATTCTCACGAAGACTACAAATATCACTGTCACACCCCCGTTGGACTTGGTAACGTCGTGAGATACACTTACAACTATACCAAGTCCATAACGCCCGCGTGGCCACCACCTTAGGTGGAGGAGATGCGGGCGTCCGGTATCCAGGAGCGGCGCCCCCCTTCAGCGATATCACTTGAAGGCGGTGAAAGGGTCGCCGCTGGGCCGTAAGGATGGGGGAGGGGTCGGCCGGTCCCTCAGCCCGCCCCCACGGCAACGTCTGGTGCAACACTCGCACACCACGACCTTAAACACTATTACTTTAACAGCTACAACATCTTAGGGAAATAAACAGTAATACAGGCAGGCACTGGTGCAGGGGCCCGGCTAATACTTGGCTGATCCCCTGCACCCTCCAGCCAATTTCACTGCACCTTAACACTATAACTTAAACCTACCATAGAGCTAGGTAACAATAACATAGGCCTACAGACTGCTCGGGCGACACTAACTGATGTCACCACGAACGTGTATAACACGAAGTTCATAGAACTTACACATGGGGATATATCATAGATATATGGTGTAAAAATAACGCACAGGGCCTTGTTGTGGACCTCAGGCCTGTCTCAGGCCGAGTTGTCCACCGACCTTGTGCGGGAATAGGGGAAATTACCTTCCCCCCCTTAACGCTAGGTTGGTCATTCACACAGGTACACTCAAGCACACTCTGGGGAGGTCTGGCCGCGCCCTACAGACAGTAGGGGTGGCAGAACTGATATACCAGTCGCTGGGAGCGCTCAGTCTTCTTCATGATGCCCTTCTTGTAGTACTGACGGATGGATCGTGAGAGTTTATCATAGTTCATGGCGGGACGGTTCTTGCGCTTACCCCAGAGCCTCGCCACACGCACACTGTCCTCAATCTTAAACACACCCTTCTGTCTGTCCAGCCACCGGATGCAGGAGCCATACAGCTGTGGCTGCTGAAGGAGCTCCTTCAAGAATTGCCACAAGTGGATGTGGGTGCCCCCGCGACCGCCGCTTCCGCTACCACCGCTACACACTTCGTCCTCAACATCTTCTGAAACACAAAAAATTAACGCCGTTAAAATACAAATTACAACGAAAACACAGTTTCCTACTCCAACAAACCTCCCACTACAACACACAGTGCATCCCAAAGCCCCGTTTCCCCAAGAAACAAGTTGGGAGACATCCCTCAACTAATGGAATCCAGGAAAATCACAACTTAACCAAGACTAACCTAACCAACTGAATTTCAATACTTCCACGGTTAATGGTATTTAAATAAAATGTGACTTCCCTGTGACTCTTCCCTGTCATTTATTTCCGTTCGCCAACTAATCTAACCGGTTTCCAAAATCCATACATCAAAATTCTATCAAGTGGGTGATGTAACACTGCCAAAACAATATACAGTAATGCAGCTGCTGGCAGCAATATAAGAGCGGAAGTCATCGTGTGAGCAACAATACTATCGGAGGCCCCAGTCACCTCCCCGTACATTGTTTACACCACACCAACATTGTTCCCACAGGAAGAAGACACCGTCCCCCCCCCCCATTATCGTGCAATAGTGTGTGTGTACCTTTACTACCACTTAATAACCAATTCCCTCTTAGATGCCCAACACATTCACCCCGGCCTCACTCACTCCTGTGTTGTGGAGGAACAGCCTTGAGGCAAAGCTCTGTAAACTCGCTCTTCCGCCGCCTTACCAAACTACACAAACTTGCGAAATTAACAAAGAAAAGAATAACTATGACGCAATATCCCCGCACCTCACCCACTTCACTATAGATAGGGGGGGGGGGAGTTGGTGTATACTCAACACTGAAGTGATCTTTTCTCATCATTACCCTTGACTAAACTAAATTATTAGGGAACACCACATCACAGAGGTGTGAGGAAGAAGTTTAACAGATGTGAATGAGAAATAATGACATGGATGGGATAACAGATATGAAGAGGCTAAATTATGTGAAGTAAGGAGTGTGGTGGAGCTGGAGTGTAGATGGAAAAAGAGTAAAAGGTGTGGAAGGGAAAGGGGGAGAGTGGAGGGGAGGAAAGGGGAGAGGGAGGGGGGGAGGGAGGAAGGAGGAAAGGGAGGAGCAGCGGCCTTGAAGCTCGGGAATCCCACTGTAATGCTGAGCGACGTGTATGCTTAAGCTCTGTCTTGTGTATGTAGTTTATCACAATGTTCCACTCACCAGTGAATATTAACGTACCCCTCCTCCCACCCCGGTGCCGCCAGTCACGTACGTCTTCCCTTCTTACTCCACCTAAAATGAAAGCTGTGACGTCACACATACCACTGTAATCTGAACTGTAGGTTGAGTTGTTGTGCCATAAATTTAACAAACTAGGAATATGTTTACACTTATATCAACGAAAAATAGTTAATACAAAAAACGGACTATCTATTTATAAAGTTAAATGTGTGAATATTTAAAATAATTTCAAGATAATATGAGCGCATAAAAGGAGCGTTGAGATTTCCAGGGGCCCTGATGGAGGCTAGCCGTGGTATCACCTTGAGCCTGACACTGAGCGCGGTGCAGGAACACCATCCTTATACTTCTCAAGAATAAAGGCGAACACAGACTGGCGCGAGATAGGACCTTGTGTTATGATGGATGCCTCACTAGCCTCAATTGTAATGTTTCGTCCAACACAAAGAAAACTAGATTTGGTCGTGATTCAACAGCGGCAACAGACAGCCTCGGCCAAGCTCTCATCTGCATGACTAAACCGTGTTTATGCACATTTGGTATGTTTACAGTTAGAGCAGCACCCGCCCACGCAAAACACCCACATCTTATTGCAACACACCACCAACTGCAACATTTACAATACTCCTATATTACAAAACTCGACAAAAAATACATAGAAGTAATGTCAAGTTCAACAAATCTGTATCGATCACGTTATTTTTTCCCTATCTAACAACTAAACAAAACCAGAAAATTATATTAAATTTCAACAAACGCAGTGTGTGTGTGTGTGTGTGTGTGTAAAAGTCCTGGGTGGTAAATAATCTAGACCTACAAGCCCCATCATGCAATGGACGACCCTCTCCCGATGGTGTGGTGCCTGTCTTCTACCATACCGCTAGAAGAGCCTTGGGCACCTCAGTGTCAACATCTGAGTGTTTGATCCCCCCCCCCCAACAGCGCCTCCCATACAACCTAACCCTTCACCAGATTCATCGATGCACCGGTCCCTACCTAAGCACAATCAACTACTCGTACTCAAATTTCATCGACCCCATACTCATTAAAAGTAATGTCAACATTAAAATATTTTTAATTAAAATACAAAAAAAATGCCGTAAACTATATTGGCAAGTGATTTTTGTTTAATAGTCATGTAGTAGAAAACCTAACCAACAGGTGTTATAAAGCCTGGTGGGGAAAATGACAACTTTTTAGAGCTTGTATGACTATGTTAGCGAGAACCCAGTGGTGGTGGAGAGTGCTTGGCTGACCAATAAGAGGTGGGACATGGGTACTTACCATCAGAATCAAAGGCGTCGTCCTGGGGTGAGTGAGCGGGGACACGGGCGATGTGGGCGGCCTTGGGGCTGCTGGCTTGCTGCTGGAGAAGGGCCGTCATGTCTAGGCATTGTTCCTCCAGATAGACGGTGCCACTGGCTTGCTGCTGCTGTGGAGGCTGTGGGGCCGGGGCGCCTGGCTGGGGCTGGCAAGTACCTGCGCCACCACCAGCCTGGAGGTGCTGCTGCTGCTGCCGATTCACCTGCACTACAGGCGTGGGCACTTGACCCATGTTAGTAGTTAGGGACATAGGAGGGCTTGATGGCGAACCTAAGTGAACAGGAGAGCCAAGCTGACTCGGAGAACCAAGCTGACTCGGTGAGCCAAGCTGACTCGGTGAGCCAAGCTGACTCGGAGAGCCAAGCTGACTCGGCGAGCCAAGCTGACTCGGCGAGCCAAGCTGACTCGGCGAGCCAAGCTGACTCGGCGAGCCAAGCTGACTCGGCGAGCCAAGCTGACTCGGTGAGCCAAGCTGACTTGAAGAGCTTAACTGGCTTGGGGACTCCAGCTGGGGTGCCTGGGGCACTTGCTGCTGGCACTGCTGGTGCTGCTGCTGCTGCGGTGCTGGCATGAGGGGCTGGTCAGGGTAAAGGCGATACCAGTGTTGGTACTGGGGGAGCTTGGGCGCCGCCCGCAGAGCTCCCCGCCAGATCTCCAACTGGGCATACAGCAGCTCACCACCTACGGGAGCGAGCTGGCGGAACTGCGCCTCCGTCAGTTTAAGAAGCGCAGGGCCGCCCAGGTTCCAGAAATTGAGCATGAGTGGCGGCAGCTGAAGCTGGGTTGCCTGCAGGTTGAGCCAGGCGCGCACGTCAGCCACGCTCCACAAGGTGGGGTCTGCAATACAAAACAACACCGTGTAAGTTGAGGCATCACACTCGCCTACATAGAAATGTCACGGGCACAGCTCTAGCAGTGCATATGTAACCTATAGGTAGTCAACAAAGACAATATACTATACTACCTACATTGTATCAACACCTTCAGTAAAAATTTTTGATAAAGTTGTAAAGTTTTACACTACATAGCCTCCAGATCTCAATGTCACTTAAAAGGGAGTAACGCCCGTATTATTAAACATCTTCCCTTGAAGAGTGTCGTCGTGTTTCAACCCGAGTTTTAAACTAAACGAGTCCTGAGGGACACAGCAGTACTGTACTAAACTGGGTGGTGTGGCGGAAAAATTAACCAATTCCAATAAAATTAATTTTACCACCACACCACCCCGTTAAGTACTGTACTGCGGTGTCCCCCAGGACTCATTTAGTTTAAAACTCGGGTTGAAACACGACGCCCCTCTTCAAGGGAATATGTTGTTTAACAATACGGGTGGAAGTATTTCATGGGTTCTCTTTCCACTAGAAGACAACACTTCAGCACTTTCCACACAACAATCCGATAAAAACAACAGAGGACACATCAACGTGGTAATGGTATTTAACAGCCCAAACACTTGTGACCGCAAGCAAAACCCAGTCGTTAACACCTACCAGTCACATCAGGCGGCGACGGTGACACCGATCTCGATTTCGAGGACAAGTCCGCCATATTGGATGGCAGGAAAAAATGGCGGCTGAGATTAATCTTGCCCCAGGTGTCACCAGGGTAGTATCTTGCTTAAATGTCCCCCAGACAGAATATATCACAACGAGTTTGTTATGGGGCGCCCTGAGTGAGGTGTGATCGAACTCACCGCCCTGGCCAGACTATGCACCTTCAGATAATGCTGATGACAGAGGGTAACACTTGGTGACGTCACAACCCACGTCACTAGATCCTGGTCAGACCCGGGAGGACCAACAGGCATTTCCCGCTCACCCTTTATTTTCCCGCTCCTACCGCCTGAGGCGCAGGCGGTGCTCCCAGGTTAGACATCTGCCCTACAGGTGAGAGAACCCCCCTACAGGCGAGAGATAGCGGGGAGAGCCAGACAAGCGTCGCGCCGGGAGGGATGCGGGTGGTGATAGGCTAGCTGGGTGTGCCCAAGGTTACCGGCCTCACGCTCACCTCCCTGGCTTACCCACCACCACCGGCAGGAGCTACCAGGGGCGGCGGCCTCCACCAGGTGAAGATGGTCAGCATCAAGGGACAAACCAGCTTGTCATTAGCATCCAGCATCCCTCGACACACTGTCCAGCCCCCTCCCCCTACCAACAGCGGACCGACTCACCCATATACACACTGCCCCACCCACGCGCCCGCCCGCTCACTACAACCCAATCAACTTACCCACCCAGTCTCTCGCCCACCCATCCTATACTGTATCATCATATTCGACACACTGGCACCACATAACACCGACCAGTCCACCCATGGCCACAGACAACACCAGCTGAGAGCCAGACATCGTGTCATGTTTAACACCCCTGATAATGCCTAATGGTAAATGTTCCAAGAAAGGGAAGAAGGAAAATTGAAAAGAAAGTAAAGCGGTGGAAAAGCGAGAGGCGTCGGGTGTGTAACACTTACGCAAAATAAACTCCGACAGACAATGAGGTGCTCTGGCAAGGTACAGGGGAGGCGTTGTGGTCGGTGGTTGGCAAGAGTGCCTCACAAGAGTGCCACTCACCCCTGGAATGTCTCAGTGCTAGGGGGAGCCGTCTCGCAGGCGCCACCATCGTCAGGCAACTCCTGCACCTTATCCACTTTATCCCCCAATCCTTCCCTGCACCCTTATGAACCTTATTTTGCCTTCAAGCACTTTATACCGACAGGTTCTCCCTGTCTTATTGTATATCTTAAGCATCCATATTCACCATCAAGCCCTTCTACTCTAATACTTCATTATGTACATATTCGATTCTCCCTTTCATACTTAATCACTATTTCACCATCCCAATGCTACTTAACCTAGCCAAAGTTTACGTCTTATACATCGTCAACATTAGTAACTACACTCATAGCACATCAGTGTCTCGCCTCCAGCTACTTAACAATGTAAAACACCTTCTTTCCCTCCCTACAGTTTCTGCAATTAAACCCGAAACAACCCATTCCTGATAGTGAATTTATTAAGCCTTCACTCACTCGAGTTAAGGATGCTCTGTACTGTACTCTCGCCCACCCACCAAATCTAAGTCTAAGACGGCAAGCATGAACTACTGATGCTTCTGCACTTGTCTTGCACAGGATGTAAACTAGCCCCTGCACAAGTGGAGGTAAATCTGAAAAATCTGAAATCTGATGCGACTGGTCATATCCACTTACCTTTACACTCCACTCTCACCTCAACACCCTAGTAATAATAAGCTCCTTCATGACTTTATCTCTCTCCTTCTCAAAAAGATTCCCACTTAATGCACCGGAAACTCGACCCCCTCTCGTGGTGTTATCATGCCTTATCTGTGACGCACGAACATGAAAACAAGGCGTAGGCGGCTGTGCCGTCACGAGATAATGGTCTCCATCATCAAGTAGCTTAACAATACGGGCACGACCCCAGGGGCTAAAATCACCTATCTAAAAATTACAGCGACTTCACAATGGATAAAAGTCTTAAAACATTCATATTGTGAGACTACCAGCAGAGACCTTAAATGTACCAAGGGCTAAACCAATCTCAATCACCTGACCTGGCAGATAATTTAGCTTCTACAACCCAATCGAATCTTAGATCCTTGGCCAGGCCTGTAACTCCGGGGGTGAGGGAGCATAACGAGCGTGTCCCCCCCCCCCCTCTCCCCCAGTTGAAGACCTGCAGCGCCACTCAACATAAAAAGAGGGCGTTGTTCTTCCCTTAACCCCTTTACCCCCCAATCTTAATCCCCCTTTTCCGCACTTCTTAGCAGGGAACTTCGACCTCACATCGAAAGGAGGAGGCCAGAGTCACTCGCGCGCCTGGCATTTGCGTCACTACACATGGGGACAAAAAGTGGTCAACCCCTCAGATGTAGCTCAAGTACACCCACCACTGACTCCTCCTACTGCTTCTCCTACTCGTCGTCCCTCTTCCTACTGCTCCTACTGTCGTCCTCTACTACATTGCTTCTCCTACTCGTCGTCCTCCTCTTCCTACTGCTTCCTACTGTCGTCCCTCTTAAACTGCTTCTCCTACTCTCGTCTCTCCTCCTACTGCCACCCTAGTCCCTCTTCCTACTGCTTCCCACTCGTCGTCCCTCTCTTTACTATTGCTTCTCCTACTGCCGTCCCTCTCTTCCTAATGCTTCTCCCACTGTCTCTCCTCCTACTGCTACTCCCTCGTCCCTCTTCCTACTGCTTCTTCCCATGTCGTCCCTCTTGCAATTAGTTTCTCCATCGCCGTCCCTCTTCCTACTGTTTCTCCCCACTCGTCCTCTTCGTACTGCTTCTACTCGTCGTCCTCTTAATACGGCTTCTCCCACTGTCGTCCTCTTCCTACTGCTTTCTCCTACTCGTCGTCCCTTCTCGTACTGGCTTCTACTCGTCGTCCTCTTAATACGGCTTCTCCCACTGGGTCGTCCCTCTTAATACGGCTTCTCCTATTCGTCGTCCTCTAGCTACGGCTTCCTACTCTGTCGTCCCTCTTAATACGGCCTTCTCCTACTGTCGTCCCTCTCCTACTGCTTCTCCCACTGTCGTCCCTCTTCCACAAGCCCTACTCGTCGTCCCTCTTCCACTGCTTCTCCTACTTCGTCCCTCTTCCTACTGTTTCTCCTGCCCCTCTCTGTTCCTACTTGCTTCTCCTACTTCTCGTCCCTCTTCCTACTGTTTCTCCTACTTCTCGTCTCTCTTACTACTGCTTCTACTCGCCGTCCCTCTTCCTACTGCTTCTCCTACTCGTCCCTCTTTCTACTGCTTCTCCTACTCGTCCCTCCTCCTAGCCCCCTCCTCCATTGCTACTCCGTCCCTCTTCCTACTATTACTCCTCGTCCCTCATCCTACTGCTTTTCCTACTGTCCCTCCTCCTCCTGCTACTCCTCGTCCTCCTCCTCCTGCTACTCCTCGTCCCTCATCCTACTGCTTCTCCTACTCGTCCCTCCTCCTCGTCCCTCATCCTACTGCTTCTCCTACTCGTCCCTCCTCCTCCTGCTACTCCTCGTCCCTCCTCCTCCTGCTACTCCTCGTCCCTCCTCCTACTGCTTCTCTATTTCCCCTCCTCATCTTTCCCCTACTCTTGATTTTATTAACAATATTTTGAGCCGGTTACTATAAAAAAAACAGCAATTAATTGGGTATTACCGAAGACTTCAACAATGAATAATGTGACGATATATTAATAAAACATCTGACAGGCGACAGCACGGAATAAGAAGATATACAGCACCAGACTTTAAATATTTAACCCCGTATTACCGATCTCGACGCATTCACCCATGTCTAAACTCTTAAAAAAAAAAAACTGAAACCCCAAAAACGTTCAGTGAATTATCAGATACAGCAATGGCGCCCTTGGACATGACTGGTAAACAATGAAGTCAACTTATGACGACTACAGCATTGATAACTAATGATGATGACGTTAACGAGCTGTAACATCATGGATCCCAGGTACAGTAAGGCTCACTACAGCGCCACATACCTGTTGCCACGTCCAGCGTAGTAAGGGCGCTGTTAAAACCCCAGGCGAGGGGGGTCCAGGGGAGGACTGGAGTAGTAGGGGAAAGGGGAATGTGTGGAAGGGATAAATAAGCTGAAGGTGTGCAGGTGGGGTAAGGTTGTACATGTGTGTGTGTGGGAGGGCATAATGCTCAAGTTGTGGGAGACGAGAGACGGACGTTGCTGGAATATACAAGGAAGGACGGGTTAGGTTAGGCCTTACGGGAACAGCAGGAGGAAGATGAGAGTTCTAGACGTGACGGGTGAGCGAGGGGTGTTGGTGAGTCACGTGTGTGGGGGGGGGGAGAGTCAGTGAGTGAATGGGTGCGTCAGTGAGTGAATGGATGAGTCAGTGAGTGAATGGGTGAGTTAGTAAGTGAATGGGTGAGTTAGTAAGTGAATGGAGGAGTCGTGAGTGAATGGGTGAGTTAGAAAGTGAATGGGTGGGTGAGTTAGAAAGTGAATGGTCAGTGAGTGAATGGGTGAGTCAGTAAGGAATGGGTGAGTCAGTGAGTGAATGGGTGAGTTAGTGAATGGGTGAGTCCAGTGAGGGGTGAAGGAATGTGAAGTCAGTGGTGAATGGGTGAGTTAGTAAGGAATGGGTGAGTTAGAAAGTGAATGGGTGGGTGAGTCAGTGGGTGAATGGGTGGGTGAGCAGGGGGTGAATGGGTGGGTGAGCTCAGTGAGTGAATGGGTGAAGGTGAATGGGTGGGGGAGCAGTGAGTGAATGGGTGGGGGAGTCAGTGAGGAATGGGGTGGGGAGTCAGTGAGTGAATGGGTGGGGAGCTGTGAGGAATGGGTGGGGAGTCAGTGAGTGAATGGGTGGGGAGCCAGGAGTGAAATGGGTGGGGAGTCAGGTGAGTGAATGGGTGGGGGAGTCAGTGAGTGAATGGGTGGGGGAGTCAGTGAGTGAATGGGTGGGTGAGTCAGTGAGTGAATGGGTGGGGGAGTCAGTGAGTGAAGGAAAGATATAGTTGGGGTGAAGTAATGGTGGATGATACACCAGGAAGGGGGGAGGGGGCTGAAGGCCCTCCACCAGCCCCACCACTAGGGTGAAGGCTAAACAATACCAATCCATAGTACTGTGTGGGTCTCTGGCCTGTCTTGTGGGTATTAGACTGTGTGGGTATCTGGCCTGTCTTGTGGGTATTAGGAGTTTAGAAGAGAAGAGAATAAAATGTGAATAAGAAAGACGGGATTTACCCACAACTCGCACCCCAGCTGCACCTCACCCAACCTTGGAGTCCTACCCACACTCCGTTATTTGGAGGGAGGACCGCGATACCTTGGGTTTAGTATACATACTTATTTCAATACAAAATGATGGAGTTTCATTAATAATTATGAAGGTAGACTATGTAGAGGTAGGTGGTATACTGAGGGCGGACTAAAAGAGTGATGTGTAGATGATACTGGTTATAGGGAGGCATCATAAGGAGGCATCGTTACCGATTTCCTTCCATCACATTTTGCACACACGCGCGCGCACACAGTGAACAAAGGACAACCACCAAGGACCAGGGAGCGAGGGGCCTTGAGTAACCCTGTCCGACAGTTACTGCTGGCGCTCCTGCGGCAAAAACAAGTCCTTCCAAGGGCGGCTCCTCCATAAACTGGGCGAGGGGGTGTGGAGGTTTGGGGGGACAGCATGGAAGTGCGGGAGGCGCCACGGTTCGGGGGGTGGGGGGGAGGGCCCGCGTCTTTGAGCACTGGGGGTGTCTGACAGGTAGAGCGCGGAAACAAAAGCCTATCACCCCTCCATCTCCACATGAACCTTATAAATACAATACAAATTAAACTTCGGAGAATATACTTCAACGCCATAAGACCTTCCCCTGCAAAAGCGACGCCGGTACGCTGTTCCTATTTAAACAGTACCAAGAATTAAAAAAAAAAATATTGAGCTACAGTAACAGATTTATTCATCGTCACATAATGCAAGAATAGTTATGGACATGAAGAAAATAAGAAGCGGTCAACGTCTGTGTGTTAAAGAAGATTCCAACACGAGTAAATCATGTGCAACTAAGGATTAGTCTGCGTTGTGTTACTAAACGCAAGTGAAAAAAATAAAATAAAAATTAAACAGACCAACGAGAAGTAAGGTGCCGTCAGTACAAGAAAGATTATTAGGAGTATAGCGGAAGAAAGAAGCCTTTAGGAGACAGGCTTGAGAAGTACGCGAGAAGCATGTACTCACCCCGGGGGATTTTGAGGGAGTCTGAGACGCGCTGGACGTCCATCCTGGCATGCTCGAGGGCCAGTTGCTCTACCGTCTCGAGGATGTCCCTCTGGCAAGCGACGGCAGTGCTGGTTGTCGTGGGAGAGGTAGAGGGCGGCGGGGCGGGGACAGCAGGCGACCCACATGATGACCCCACGCTCACCTCTTCCTCCACCTCCTGCTTCACGTCCACCAACATGTCCAGGAACCCCAGCCCCTCATTCATGATGGTGGACGACACCGACTTATAGGGCACAGCCATCTTCTTCTGGAAGGTGTTGTCTTCAAGGCGGCCTCGCAGAAGAGGGTGGTCGGGGTAAGGGGCATAATGGGGTGCCTGCTGGTGCACGTTCGTCAAGGCTTGGTTCTCCGCCAGCAGCTCCGACAGGTTGAGTGAGCCCTCAAATCCTTCCTTCTTCAGGTTGGGTTGCGGACGAGCATAGGGAGAGACATGGTGGGGAGCCGGAGGAGAGGGTGGGAAGTTGCCGCAGTTAGATGGGGAGAAGGGTTCCTCCTTCACCTTTTCAAGCTCCCCAGGGTGATGTTGAGGGGAGTGGAATGAAGGAGGGGAGTAGCAGGGGTCGGACCACTGGGATGGTGAGGGAACCTGGCATTCCCCGTAGCCACCTTCGTGGCCAGGGCTTACCGATGTGCCCCCGGGCACAGCCTGGCTCATCTGCAACAAATAACTACATTAGTACACTATTTATAAGCGCTTTACTATGTATGTGACCAATCATCTACACTCAAATGTACTCGAGTCAACATCTACACTCAAATGTACCTGAGTCAACATCTACACTCAAATGTACTCGAGTCAACATCTACACTCAGATGTACTCGAGTCAACATCTACACATCAAATGTACTCGAGTCAACATCTACACTCAAATGTACCCGAGTCAACATCTACACTCAAATGTACCCGAGTCAACATCTACACTCAAATGTACCCGAGTCAACATCTACACTCAAATGTACCCGAGACAACATCTACACTCAAATGTACTCGAGTCAACATCTACACTCAAATGTACCCGAGACAACATCTACACTCAAATGTACCCGAGACAACATCTACTCAAATGTACCCGTAGAGTCAACATCTACACTCATATGTACTCGAGTCAACATCTACACTCAAATGTACAGTCAACATCTACACTCAAATGTACCCGAGACAACATCTACACTCAAATGTACCCGAGTCAACATCTACACTCAAATGTACTCGAGTCAACATCTACACTCAAATGTACTCGAGTCAACATCTACACTCATATGTACTCGAGTCAACATCTACACTCAAATGTACTCGAGTCAACATCTACACTCAAATGTACTCGAGTCAACATCTACACTCAAATGTACCCGAGTCAACATCTACACTCAAATTTACTCGAGTCAACATCTACACTCAAATGTACCCGAGACAACATCTACACTCAAATGTATCCGAGTCAACATCTTCACTTAAATGTACCCGAGTCAACATCTACACTCAAATGTACCCGAGACAACATCTACACTCAAATGTACCCGAGCTACATTATCTATCCACATATAAGGTACTTCCAAATGCTCAAAAAGTCACAAAAACAACTTTTCACTCTAGGAAACAATACACCAGGTCCAGGCAGCCCTCAAGCCAAACCCCTATACCCTCTTCGTAGGGCAATTCATCCCCAGGATCCCACATTGCTGCTGCAGTCACTCCTACACCGCCCAATATTGGGACACCTACACTAAATAATCTAAGTGAAAAATGATCCTCGGGTATTTAAAAAGTACCAAATAATGTATTAACCTTTTATGAACTTAAGTATTGTATAAATATTAGTAACATTGTGTCAATTACTTACGACGCCAGCACGGAGTGGGGGGGGGGGGTGAATTAAGGAGTAGTGGGTGTGGGAGTGACGGGTGGAGGGAGGGAGAGGGGAGACGGGGAGGGGTAAGAGGGTGGGTGCACGTCATTAAGCAACCTACGCACTTGCACCAACGCTCCCCTTTCTCACTAGCCCCACTCAACTTACTACTGGCCTACTTAACTATACGATATTTACATGTAAGGAACACGTATAAAGTGTTTGTATATTAAGTCATGTAGTTAATAGGCTATTCTACAATAAATCAACGAGTGGAAATTCTATGTGTGCTTGACTGTTGGCTCTCCTTTCACCCCTCACCCTGTTCACACTAACAGTCAATCTCTTCCCATTATTCAAATAATTAACAGTAGTACATTTCTATATGTCACAACTGAAATACACAAAGAATTAATTACCAATTACAGCATAATCTACTTGACCATGTAAAAATCGTCACCATCCACTACAGTGCACACTTTATTAGTTCGCCATGTGCTGCTCCCCTCAAAGTGCGTCATGCACTTTAGCGTGGAGACGTGCTAATAACATCACGTCAGCGCATTACTCACCACCATGATACTACAGCAGTGCCACTTAACTTGAGTTCTCCATGATAAGCCCTCCACTTGTTCCCCCCCCCCCTAAGTACCACAACACATTAAAAATCTCAGAATTATCGTGAAATTATCAAACAAGATGGAGAAAAGTTCTTACAAATCAATAGCTTGGCAATAGTACAAAACTGGTCTGTTTATACCTTACTTTAAATAAATTGTTGAGGTTTAAAGTTTTTATGGCACGGGATGTGGGAAACGCAGACGCCCCCACCCCAACCACCTGTAGCTTTCACCTAGCTTGTCAACCTTTACTACTATCACCACAAAAATTTAGCACTCCACAAACACATCACAACTTATAACATATCACCAACTTACCTCAGAGTACAGTAAGGTATGCATCATGATGCAAAAGTGGAAGAAACAAATTCTCGGAGCACTACTTCACACGTCTACTCCACTCGGTGTCTCGGCTCAGAATAACTCGGGATCGCCTACTATCTCGCCACCTGCAGTCATCATTTCCCTTACACCTGCCAGATACCACTATCCAACAAAATTATTTTTTATCTTTAGTTTTCCAAATACGATACGAAAGTCAGTTACAATAGATTGAAGTCATTTATGCTTCAATACAGTTTATTTTCGTGTTATTTAAGGGGAATCTATATTCATTTAGGTCCGTATAAATTAAGAAGTTTCAAATCAATGATATGACAACCAAGTACCCCAATGACGTCAATAAGTAACCATAGCAACGGCTTGCGCAGTGACCAAACACTGCTGAGAATGTAAGTCAGTCAAAGTTCTTGCACTCCAATTGGTTGACTAGTTCATTCGTTGTTTCGTTTAACTGAACTTTTCTTGATCAACAGATTCATATCACATTTTTAACCGAGTACTATACTGAATACTTCTCAATTCCCATTTATCCTTCTTTGGTAACTCAGCCGCTCGCAGAGTGAAAGTTATACTCCAACACTGCAGACCAGTGTGCACAGTCTCCTAACCAGTTATTTCTTAGAACAGTTTACATAAATCGCCAAATCATTCCTCCGGTGGCTACGCCTGTCACTACAATGCAAAAGTAAACTACATGCGATGTTTCACCAACATTATAAGTTATACACGTTCACAATTACCTCGGGGAGGCACTTGGTCAAGTTTTTGTTTCCAAGCTGCCCATCAGCCTTGGGTGGATGTTTGTTCCTTGGTCGGACATGCCAGCATCGCCTGCATTACACCACTCGCTGCCAGGACGGCTACGCCATGTCCCACATTCCCTCTACGCGAAAGTGATCTACAGTTATGAATATAAGCATTTCTATAACACTGGTGTTAAGAGTCTACCTGCATTATCAAAATATAAGCATCGATTAATTATCTGTTTATCGTTGCATGATTGTTAAGAAAGGGTTAGTACTGCATGCAGGAGAAGGCTACCAAGACCTACGGTCTCTTGCAGTCAATTATAAATCTGTCTAATTAAAGATGTTTGATTCCACTTCAATGTGTTTCTTACGTGCACAAAGGGAGGTATTGCGTCGCACCGGCCACCACAAACTGTCCTTGGGCGGTACTGAATAATTCCTAAGGTGGAAAATCGATTTATATTATGTATTTCTTGAATATGGGCTCGAAAAGTTGGATTTCAACTTGTGTCACAAACAGACACACACGCACACAAACTCACACACGCACACACACACACACACACACACACACACACACACACACACACACACACACACACACACACACACACACACACACACACACACACACACACACACACACACACACACCAAACACAACACTCCAACACACAAACATCCTGCAACACACACCCATTAAACCACACACAAACATCCTGCAACACACACCCATTAAACCCCACACAAACAAAACCCCCACACACACATAGCCATACACCCCCACACACAAACACCCCACACGCACAAGCACCACCACTCAATACAATACTCAAACACACATACCCACACAAACGCACCATACATACACGCGCACACAATACAAACTACAACACACACCTCACGCACACACACACACACAACACCCTCACGCGCACACACACACACACACAAAAAACTGAAACACACAACAACCAACACAACACCTCTCACACACACACACACACACACACACACACACACACAGAATAACCTCACGCACACACACACAGAATACCCTCACGCACACACACACACACACACCCTCACGCACACACACACAAAAAAAACTGAAACACACAACAACCAACACAACACCCTCTCTCTCACACACACACACACACACACACACACACACACACACAAACGCACACCAACACACCAACACACACACACATACACACACACACACACACGCAGGAGAATAAAAAGAGAAAATATAACTAATATGTAAATATAATAGAAGAGTTACTGTATGTGTCTGTGTCTGTCTGTGTCTACATGTGTGTGTGTTTGTGCGTCTGTGTCTGTGGCTGCATCTGTGTGTTTGTTCGTTTCTGTGTGTTTGTGTCTGTATGTGTCTGTGTCTCTGGGTGTTTATATCTGTCTGTCTAAATCTGTGTGTGTTTGTGTCCGTGTCTGTGTGTGTTTTGTGTGTGTGTTGTGTCTGTGTCTGTATGTGTTGTGTCTGTAGGTTTGTGTGTTTGTGTGTATTTCTGTACGTATCTGTTTGCATCTGTATTTATGAGTGTTTTTGTGTCTGCGTCAGTCATCAGAATGAATGCACAATACTGATAGGTGTGTTTTAATGTGTAACTCACTCGCAACTCTGATAACTCACTCACAACTGCCATAACACCCTCATAATTCTCATAACACCCTCACAACTCTGTTAACTCACTCGCAACTCTGATAACTCACTCACAACTGCCATAACACCCTCATAACTCTCATAACTCCCTCACAACTCTGTTAACTCACTCGCAACTCTGATAACTCACTCACAACTGCCATAACACCCTCATAACTCTCATAACTCCCTCACAACTCTGATAACTCCCTCACTACTGCCGTAACACCCTCATAACTCTCATAACTCCCTCACAACTCTGATAACTCACTCACAACTGCCATAACACCCTCACAACTCTGATAACTCACTTGCAACTCTGATAACTCACTCGCAACTCTGATAACTCCCTCTCAACTCTGATAACTCACTCGCAACTCTGATAACTCACTCACAACTCTGATAACTCACTCACAACTCTGATAACTCCCTCACTACTGCCATAGCACCCTCATAACTCTGATAACTCACTCACAACTCTGATAACTCACTCACAACTGCCATAACACCCTCATAACTCCCTCACAACTCTGATAACTCCCTCACTACTGCCATAACACCCTCACAACTCTCATAACTCCCTCACAACTGTGATAACTCACCCACAACTGCCATAACACCCTCACAACTCTGATAACTCACTCGCAACTCTGATAACTCACTCACAACTCTGATAACTCACTCACAACTCTGATAACTCCCTCACTACTGCCATAACACCTTCATAACTCTGATAACTACCTCACAACTCTGATAACTCACCACAACTGCCATAACAATCACAATCTCTCACAACCTGATAACCACCACAACTCTGATAACTCGCCATAACACCTCACAACTCTGATAACTCACTCGCAACCTGATAACTCCCACAACTGCCATAACACCCTCATAACTCTCATAACTCCTTCACAACTCTGATAACTCACCACCACTGCCATAACACCCTCACAACTCTGATAACTCACCACAACTCTGATAACTCCCTCACTACTGCCATAACACCTTCATAACTCTGATAACTACCACAACTCTGATAACTCACTCACAACTAACATCACCAACCTGATAACTCACTGCAACCTGATAACCACCTCACAACTCTGATAACTCACCACAACTGCCATAACACCCTCACAACTCTGATAACTCACTCGCAACTCTGATAACTACCCTCACAACTCTGATAACTCACTCACAACCGCCATAACACCTCACAACTCTGATAACTCACCTGCAACTCTGATAACTCCCTCACAACCGCCATAACACCTCATAACTCTCATAACCTCACAACTCTGATAACTCACCACAACCGCCATAACACCCTCATAACTCTCATAACACCCTCACAACTCTGATAACTCACTCGCAACTCTGATAACTCCCTCACAACTGCCATAACACCCTCATAACTCTCATAACTCCCTCACAACTCTGATAACTCACTCACAACTGCCATAACTCCCTCATAACTCTCATAACTCCCTCACAACTCGCATAACACCCTCACAACCCTGATAACTCCCTCATAACTCTGATAACTCACTCACTATTGCCATAACACCCTCATAACCTCATAACTCCCTCATAACTCTCATAACACCCTCATAAATCTCATAACTCCCTCACAACCCTGATAACTCCCTCACAACTCTGATAACTCACTCACTACTGCCATAACACCCTCATAACCTCATAACTCCCTCATAACTCTCATAACACCCTCATAACTCTCATAACTCCCTCACAACCCTGATAACTCCCTCACAACTCTGATAACTCACTCACTATTGCCATAACACCCTCATAACCTCATAACTCCCTCATAACTCTCATAACACCCTCATAACTCTCATAACTCCCTCACAACCCTGATAACTCCCTCACAACTCTGATAACTCACTCACTACTGCCATAACACCCTCATAACCTCATAACTCCCTCACAACTCTCATAACTCCCTCACAACTCTCATAACTCCTCTGACTGCAGAGACAGACGGACAGACACAAGGACAGACGAACAACACAACAACACTAAAACAAAAATAACCTGAAGACAATAACAACAGCAACACAACGTCATCAAAATAAAACGATAACAATATCAATAAAACAACAGCAACAGAAGCAAAACGATAACAAATGAGTATTAAAACAAGAACAACAAGAACAACGTATAGTACGAGAAAAAAAGATGTATCAGTAAAAAACAGGAAACAAAAGACTATACGTGATAAATGTGTGTATGAGAGAGAGAGAGAGAGAGAGAGAGAGGCACCAGGGAGGGGGGTAAAGGGCTGATGCTACTATCTAGTCCTGGTGCTGAACTCTCTCTCTTTTACGCAAACAAACACACACACACACACACACACACACACACACACACACACACACACACCTCTAAATGCTCTTTCTCTAAAAAAACGGCAGAAATTTCTAAATTTTCAGTATTTTTGGTAGGAACTGCAAACAGTTGTCTCTCTCTCTCTCATAATAATAATAATAATAATAATAATAATAATAATAATAATAATAATAATAATTAAATATTTCAACAACATCCAAGTGTAATGAATAAATATAATGAACTGCAGGAAAGATAAGGTTCTGTACAGATAGGTGCGGAGATAACATGTTTCATGCCCTTAGCTCAGCGTGGGATGAGTGAC